TAATGGGTTTGGATTTTCCCCAACCTAAGACCTTTTTTTATTATTATTATTTTATTTTAAAGATTCATAACCAAAGCTAAATATACATTCAATCTTATTGTATTTTATTTGGCTCAACAACAAAATCAAATACACATTAATTAACATTGTTACATTATTCTTATCAAATTTTACGTATATTTAGAATTTTTAAAATTTATTTAGAAAAATTATATTCCTACAAAAAAATTCCATCTTCTTTTTTATTTATTTATTTATTTTTTTTAAAATTTTATGTATCACCTTCTCCTCTCTATTAATTGATCTTTGATAATCTGAAGGTGAGTTGTTGCTCTTGTTTCCATCTTCTTCTTCTTCTTTTTTTAAAAAAATTATTTGCATTTATAGAATGAATTTTCTTGTTTCAATATCTCCTGTAATTGTTTTATTGGATTTTTCTCTCATTTGATGGTAACCTTAGATTGAATTTCCTAATTTTGATCTTAACTAGTGATCACCTTAATTGAAATTTTGTACATTTTTGTCTTCAATTTTCATGTTTTGGTTATCATTAATTGCGCGTTTCTAATCGATAGTCACAATCTTGTCACCGCTAGATTGTCACATCGCAAATCGCCGTTGCTATAGTGAGAGGATGAGAAAGAGTGAGAATTAGAACTCTAATTGTAAATAGAGTAGTGAAAACATATGGAGAAATTATTTTTCGATGTACCTAAAAAAAAATATGGGAAAATTAGTGGGTATCCATCCCTGGTGGAGATTTAAAGAATATCACTTACCCTACCTGACAGATAAGAAAAAATGAGGAAAACCCATGCATTTGGGTTGGGTCTCCATAGATACCCACATGGTAGGTTATCGATTGTCATTCCTAATTTTCACTACATTGTTTACAATTAGAGTTCTAATTCTCACTCTCTTTCATCCTCTCACTACAGCAATGACGATTTGCGATGGCGACAATCTAGCGGCGACAAGATTGTGACTTTCGATAAAAAAACATGCAATTAATCATAACCAAAACATGGAAATTGAAGATGTAGCGCCCAAAAATTTTATAACATCATGCAATACCCTAACCAACGTTCATTATAAGAAAGGATGCAATTCATCAACATTTACATCATTGATCATTAAGGTGTGTACAAAATAGTTCCACATGCGAATTATACATTCAATGATATCAAATACATGAATCTATAGCATATAGAACATTTGATCCTAAAATAAACAAATGCCCTAAAGGCTTAGAATTTCCAAGGTTTAAGCCCGGTCACACAAAAATGATCTCTCGGACCCATACAACTATAGCTCTCGGCTAGCAAAAATACATCGCAACAAAAGATGAGCCATATGCCCTCAACAAATATGTCCACGCCCTAATTCGGCGGAATTGCCACATCCTTTCCTGCACCAAAATCCAATAGGATGAGCATAAAGCCCAGTAGAAAATTCTTAACAAAGTACATATATTTTATACAAGCTTCACAAAACGAAATGCATATGCCATGTTTTGTCTTTTTTTTAAAGAAAATCTCATCTTCATCCTTTGAAAACTATCGTGCTCAATGACATCATAAAAACATCAACAATTTAGAATTTATCAATTTGACTCAAGGGGTGGTAAATACGACTCAGGTAATCCCTAGGTTGGTGTCTGCAAATAGGCATAACTAGCACTACAAATCTCCACTTTATCGGCTCATAACCGAAAGGCACGTGGTACCTCCTCCGCGCGTGTTTTCGATTTTTCACCTCGGACACTCACGCCAACTTAATCAATTTCCTCTACACCCCCTATCCGGATTTACCAACGTATTTACCCCAAGGCAGTTCCATGAAAACTTATTTCACAACATGCTTTTCTCAAATGCAAAAGTTTTCAAATCCAATAACCCAAACTTACTATACCAAGTGAATTGAGATGAAAATGTAACAATTTACAATGCAATGCAATAACCCTTCCACTTTCAATTTCATCACATGATTCGACCATGAATACCACAATCTCCAATTTCCTTATTCCAATGTGATTTCACAAGATAATCATATATCTATTCAAATTCATCAAAAGTAATAATATTTTCACATTTCTTGTGTTCTCAACAAAGTAGTCATTTCAAGACTATAACAACATTTGAACAACAACTTCCAATATCAACAATTTTCATATTCCATGCAATTCATCATTTACGTATATAAATAGGAATTTTTCCTCATCCTTTACTCATTTTGGTACACAAAATAATATATAAACAATGTCAACCATGCATTCTCAATATCTTTTGAAAACCCCAAAATTTCTAGGTTTTTCTCACCACAACAACAACACACACACCCAAATCATTTGAAAGAATTTTCTTCAAAGACAACTTTCCTCAATTAATGTAGTTCAAAACCCTCAAGATATTATATCAAAGAAACATGGAGCAAATCCACTCTCAAACTACCCACATTGTTGAGCCAACATCAAGTTTGAAAGCTATCCAAAGAAATTTTGAAAATCAACTAAATCTTGCAAAAATATATATATATAACTCTAAGAGAATTCCTATCTCAAGCTTTGAAAGAGAAATGAGATGAAACCCTCAAAATCAACAGTGTTAAAATCTAATCTTTACCGTACAAGATGAAGCCCTTGATTAGCTCTCCAACTTTAGTAAAGGAATAAAGATCAAAATCCCAATGGATTCCAAGAAATCAAGGTTTTAAGATGTTTGGTGAGAGTTTTTAGAGAGAAGAAGGAGCAAAAATGCTTTTAGAGTGAGAATGAAGTGTTTAAAAATGAGATACACTCAGCCCAAAAAGAAAGAAAAAACAGAGTTTTCGAACTTGGATCTGTACCGTACGTGCTGCGCCCATTCTCGCACGTACGGCAACCCCCTTCGTACGTGCAGCTCTCACCACCGCACGTGTGGTGCTCTTCCTCCGCACTTCCCTCCGCACTTGCATATATTGTAGTGTTGCACCTTGGATCTCCTTTGCTCTCCGTACGTGCGGCCTCACCTCCCCCACGTGCGGCTTCTCTCCCGCATGTGCGGCCCAATCCCTCGCACGTGCAGTTCTCCCCTTCTGCCCTAAAAATTTCTAGCTCAACCAAAAACACACCAAGCCCAACCTTGCACCTTCCGAAACACGTGAAACTCGGGATAGCAATAAATAAGAATGAGAATTTTAGAGAAGTAGTTTTCAAAACAACAACCCAACAGTCAAACCAAAACCTCACACTAAAATCTGACACTATAATAATAGTAAACCCAAGGTTAAGCAAAGAGGAACGAAATGAATAACATGCCTGGTCATCACAGAAGACAAAAATGTACAAAATTTCAATTAAGGCAATCACTAGTTAAGATGAAAATTGGAAAATTCAATCTAAGGTTGCCATCAAATCAGAGATAAATCCAATAAAACAATTGCAGGAGATATTGAAATAAGAAAATTCATTCTATAAATGCAAATAAAAATTTAAAAAAAGAAAAGAAAAGAAGAAGATGGAAACGAGAGTAACAACTCACTTTTAAATTATCGAAGATCAATTAATAGAGAGGAGAAGGAGATACATAAAATTAAAAAAAATTAAAAAAGAAAATGGAATTTTTTTGTAGGAGTAGAATTTTTCTAAATAAATTTAAAAAATTCTAAATATACATAAAATTTTACAAGAATAATGTGACAATGTTAATTAATGTGTATTTGATTTTGTTGTTGAACCAAATAAAATAAAATAAGATTGAATGTATATTTAGCTTTGGTTGTGAATCTTAACAAAAATAAATAAATAAATAAATAATAAAAAATTAGTTGTGAACCTTAAAAAATAAAAATATGAGTCAAGTTGGGTTGGGAAAAATCCAAACCCATTAGGAGATGGGGAGGATAGTACCCATGGGGAATGAGGAAAAATAACTATAGAGGAATGGGGATAGGGAATTAATATCCACCCCATTAACCACCATTGCCATCCCTACTAGTGACATACCTCCTCCAAGGACTTAGCTTGGGAGGACTTGGGAGCTGAAGGCTTTGTTTTTGTTTTTTTGTATTTAATTTTTGTACAAGCCTAGGGCTTTATGTAAGGCCCCGGTGTCCTACATCGGGAATGGAGGAAGAGTTCCTAGGCTATAAAAATAAAAACCTAGACCTTTATATAACATCGAGGCCTTTTCCCAGGTGGTGAAATCCCTATTAGAACTCCCTAGTTAAGCGTACTTAGGCTGGAGTAGTTCGAGGATGGGTGACCCACTAGAAAGAACAAATCCGTGCAGGTGTGGCCCAAAGCGGACAATATCGATTATATGTGAAGGGTTGGGGCGTTACAAATGGTATCAGAGCCGACTCTCCGGAGTACCGAGTGTGGGCTTCTGGCGTCTCTCGGTGCATGCGAGCGGGCTTGCGAGCTGGCAGGCTACTGCACGGGGACGTGCAGCCTTATGGGGGGTGGATTGTAAGGCCCCGGTGTCCCACATCGGGACTGGAGAGGGAGTTCCTAGGCTATAAAAATAAAAACCTAAACCCTTATATAGCATCGAGGCCTTTTCCCAGGTGGTGAAATCCCTATTAGAACTCCCCCGTTAAGCGTGCTTAGGCTGGAATAGTTCTAGGATGGGTGACCCACTAGGAAGAACAAATCCATGCGGGCGTAGCCCAAAGCAGACAATATCGATTATATGTGAAGGGTTGGGGCGTTACACTTTATATGTATTGAGTTTAAGACCTTCTCTTTTGTTATAACCAAGCATAATCTTGGAAAAATATAAGCCTGTAGGGCATTTATTTTGTTGATCATTAACTGATATCACATACTATAGATTCGGGATAGAGCTTATGAATGTATATCGCATGTGTCATTCATGTAAATTAGCTCTGATTAATGAAAGTCTATTATTTTGTTTATGTCATCTGATAGTAGTTATTTATAGATGAATGACTGTAATTATTTTGGGGGCGTGACAATCAATAATACCCATTTTATTATCAACTAACCAAAAAACTTTAACTTGTAACATCATATTCCAAATATCATATAAATCCATATCAACCAAATATAATCCATCTAAATTAAATATTACATAAAAAAATATTGGATTTCTAAAATAGAGGATTGTACAAAAATAAATGTCTTTCATATCAACCTTTGAAGTAGCTTCCTCCAAAAAAGAGACATCAGGAAGTGACTAAAGAACAACTTCCACTGCCAAAGTTAGAGCTTCAGATGCAACCACTGTTTGAAAGAATAAGCACACTGAAATTGTCAAAAATCAAAATGAGCAGATAATATAGAAAGATGCAATGCATTGTATAATATAATTCATGGAAAATTGCAAAATTAGTGAAGACATATAGCCAAATACTTTTAGTTGATTTATCAGTGCACCATAAGAAGTATTAAGAAACCTTTCTTTAATTTAGCGAACTTGTTTTCCTGAGACATATCCCAACAAGAAGCACACGCTAATTGACATGATTACCAGTATCATATGCGGTATTGAAGATTGATAAAAAAAAAAAAAAAAAAAGTTAATTCCCTGAAAGTTCTATTTACAAATATTACAGTAACTCAGGTCATATCTAAGATTTTTTTGAATCAATAAATCCTATTTAATAAAACTGAGAATATTATCAATTTTTTCTAATTTTTAAAACTAAGAATATTACCAATTTTGCATAATAATGTTCCAAATAATTGTTTCACTAACTGATAAATAAAAAAACAGACCATGAGATTAAACATATTTGCCTTTCTACTTATGGGTTTGATTTAACTATTCAATAAAACCGAAAACATTATTAGTTTTTTTTTAGTTTTAAAACTAAGAACATTATCAATTTTTTCATTTTTAAAAGTTTTTTTTTTTTTTTAGTTTTGCGCATCAAGCTCCTTTATAGACACAAAATTTTCAATTTTGCACAAAAAAATAATTCAATTCTTTCAATTCTTTTCAAAAAAAAATTAATTTGTTTTTTTTTCACATAATTTTTTCTTTTAGTTTTTTTAATTTGAAAGTTGATATTTAAAGTTTTGAAAATCAAAATAGATGTTCAATCATCATGTTCCTTTATAGATAATTATAAATGACGAACACTTATTGTTTGAAGGGCAATTCCAACTATTAAAAATTTAATGAGACTTAAAGGTCCAAAAAATATTAATTATGACTTAATAGAATATAAGTTCATAAATTAGGACTTGTGTGTAAATGCTCCTAAAAAAATTTAAAAAATTAAAAAAAAAAAGGCCTTTCCTATGTGAAATTCAGAAACTAAATGAAATGCATATTACTGCCAACTTCATATCGATAGCATATACAAATGAGATTTGCAAGAATCTTCTTAGTAATATCAATATATGAGGAGCTCATACATGAGAAATCAAAGGTTTGAAACAAGCCAATAGCCCACCTGTCCAGCTCCATAGACCAACTTTACTTCTAGCTTACTGTAGAAATGACTCCATCCAACTATATAGTTAAAATTGATGTATTATTGATTGTTGTATTGATATATTACAATGATTCCTATATATAGAAGAGAGGATGTGGGAAGAGAATAGGTGAGTGTGTAGTAGGTATGGAGTAGGTGAGGAGTAGGTGGAGAGTAGGTGAAGTAGGTGAGTGTGTAGTAGGTGGTAGTGGTAGGTGTGTAGTAGGTGAATTTTAACACAACTATATGTTTTAGACTATCATAATTTTTATGTAAAATCTGTGCTAGTGGAGACAAAGGAAAAGATCAAATAACATTGAACTTAAATTAATATTGAATATATGGAAACCATTTTTTTAACAATCTAGATAGAAAAGCATGATAGTACATGATTCGATTGCAAGCCAATTTTTTTTGATAAATAGAAGATATAGTCCAGATTCTCCTCTATGGTTAAATAATGAAGTCTACTATTGTAAGTAAATTTCATAATGGTTCATGCAGGATAAGTAAGTTAATCACTTTTACAAACATAAATAGGATATAAACACCTCTTACGATGATATTAACTAAAAGAATCCCAAAATAGGATTATATCACATAAAAAGTGGATACACAGAGTCCACTATATTTTTGTGCGAAAAGGATCATCTCACATAAAAAGTGGAAGCACACACGGTCTAATAAATTGTTAATTTTGCAATCAATGATTCACACTGAAACAACGTTGTCCCACATTGGAAGTTTGCATAAATGATCTTCGGTTTATATGACACCACTAGCTTGCTTTAATTTATTTTATTTTATTTTATTTTATTTTATTTTATTTTATTTTTTTGGAACAATGCTACTATATAACTTGGCTTAAGTATTTTGGATCATATTTGTAGGCTGATTTTCTTCAGGTTACTAGGGCCAATTGACAGTGAAGTAATCATATTCTACGAAATTCATTGCATCTTTCATAGAGGGGAACACCAATACATGGATATAATACACCTAACATTGTGCCTGTTTGGCAGAAATTATAATCAGCTTATTTCAGCTTTCAACTTAATTTAAGCTATTTTGATGTGTTTGATTTAGCTTATAGCTTATAGCTTTTTGGAAGTCATAAATCAGCTTATTCTTTGAGTGGGGCAGGAGATGCTTTAAGAATAAGTCAGAAATCAGCTTATGTTCATAGTTATAAGCTATAAGCTGTTTAGGCATAAGCTATAAGCACTTTCCCACAGCTCTACCAAATAGGGCTATTGTAACTATTGAAATTCCTCTTTCATGTTTGACTATCCATATAAAATTTGAGAAAAGATTTGTGCCTCGAATGAGGCTCCCCCGAATGCCTCGAATTGGTGAAACGACGTCGTTTCACCAATTCAAATTTTTTTTTTTTGATAATAAATATTGCCTCTAAATTAAAGACTTTCACCAAAAATTTATTTTAGGTTTAAAAGTTAATTGAAAGACCCTCTAAATATTTAATTTGCACTTTAAGATTCACCATCAAAATATTCGAGATTGTAATATTATTATTATTTAAATATTTACTTGATTTGTATTTTCGGGTTCTCACATTTATTCTTTATTACATTTATTTGTTTTCTGGCCCTATATTTGCAGATGAAATATAGAGAACGTGTACGTGGGTTGATCCTTGTTTCCCTTGTATGCAAAGCACCTTTGTGGACTGAATGGCTTTATAGCAAGGTTATAATTCCTATCATCGATGAACACTTGTAAAATGTTCAATTTTCTGTTATACATAATGTTAACTGAAAAAAAAAAAATACAAAAACAACTACGTTTTGTATATTAGGGGCATTCGGGGCTCCCACATTCAGGCTCCCAATCACAGCTCATAAAATTTTCAATACCATTTCAAAAGCAAGATCATCAGTACTCCAACTTGAGACATAACACAAACATATAGTCTTCAAAATCATATCTCATGAAAGACCCAAAAGAACAAAACACACAAAAAGATATAATAAATTCTTAATTATTTCAAATACAAGAAGCAATCAAAGAACAAAACTTCAAATCAAGCAACCAAATTTAGATCATACCCAGACATGAAATCTATGAAAACAACACATCAGCACTTAAAATTAAAGAGCAAGCATGAATTTAAGATCAAAGAAACAGTGAAGGATGTGTAGAAAAACAGACCTTAACCTTTTTTTAAACAAAGAAATTGAGTGAAGCTACAAAACGCAAGGTCAAAATAGACATCGCAAACAAAGTGGGGGAAAGAGAGAGAGAGAGTAGAGTGAGGACAAATGGTGGAGCCTTGTTTCTCTTAGGAATCACTTGGTTCGGCAAACTGTCACTCTAGTGCATATGATGAGACCAAAGTACACACAAATTGAAAATGAAATAAATTTTTGTAGATCTCACAGAATTTAGAGCCAAAATCAAACCAGTTATTAATTCCTTTAATTTTTATTTTTAAACTTAACTCAATTTCTTCATCCTCTTTCTAATTCACCTATATGACATGCAAATTAAACCTAATTTCTTTCCAATTACATGAAATTGAGTAATCATTTCTAGATTTTAATTATTAGATAATTAATCTACAAGAATATAGCATGTAATCCTTAGTTAGAGTTCTTGATTGATAATCTCTTGATAATTTTCCTCTTCTCTTCTTTGTTGTTCTTCCTTTCTTTAACCTTAGCCTTTCCTCTAAGTTTTCCATCAAAATTCCTCCAGCAAGATGAAGGTAAGCTTTCCCCTCTCTCTCTCTCTCTCTCTCTCTTCTCTCTCTCTCTCTCTCTCTCTCTCTCGTGTGTTCTCTCGTTCCTTTCTCTTTTTCTTTATTTCTCAAATGTTTTGAGTCAAAGGAATTTACATCACCTCTTGAGCTCCGAGCACATACATACACCCGTGCACTCCGTGGGTGATGAAGAAGCCACCGATCAAGCTTCCGAGGGTGATGGATCTCACGCGACGGTGACCAACAAGGAGGTGAATCGGTGCTCCGGTTGCCGGTGAACGTGAGGAGGAGCGGCGATGGAGAGCTAATCTGTCACTGGTGGAGCAAGCATGAGAGAAATGAGGGGAGAGGAGCAGTGGAGAGAGAGAGAGACACGACGAGAGAGAGAGAGACGCTGGCTTGTTTAGGGTTTGGTTTGCGAAAAAAAATAAAATAAATAAATAAATAAATAAAAATATATATATATATATATATATATGTGGTTATTGGTCATTTTACACAATTTGTGACTAAACATTTTGGTCGCCGATTAATTTTATAAATCTCTTCAAAATTTGAAATATCTCCCTCTAAATATTTTCGTTCTTTGGCGACTAAAAATTTTTTTAGTTGCTAAAAATAAATTTTTTGTCATCAAAGATAAAAAGAAAATTTTAGTTTTTTATTCGGCGACTAAATAATTTTAGTAACCAAAACTAACTATACAACGACTAAAATATTTTGTCACTGAAAATAAATTTTTAGCAACCAAACTTTTGGTCGCCGAAGATAGAAAGTAAATTTTTGTTTTTCATTTGGCGACTAAATAATTTTAGTAGCCAAAACTAACTATACAGCTACTAAAATATTTTTTTAGTCTCTAATTATGGCAATTTAGCGACAAATATTTTTTAGTCGCCAATAATCAATATACCCCAACTAAAAAAAATTAGTAACTAAATATTATACTTTTGCCGACTAATATAATTTTTTGTTGTCAATTTCACAACTTTTTTTTTAAACGCTAAAAGTAAAATTTGTTGTAGTGATTGAATGTGGTCTATTGGAAATCATTATGATTAATTCAGTATCTTTAGACATCTCATTTTTCATATATTTTTCTAATACCATTTTATTCCTAACTCTAATTATCAAAATGGACAAAAGTTTGAAGTCGATTTCGCCAACTTTTCTTTTTTAAATTGTCGTCGGCACCACCATCGGTAGTGACCCCCACATTCTCCTTGCTCTCCCTAATTCCCCGTTGCCATCCTTAAACCCCTCCCTGACTTTGGTGGCCAATCTAGCTCTGCTACCTACCTCACGATCCTACCCCCACAACTACTCACCTTGAGGACCACTGCCCATGCGACTCCTCTCCTCCCCTTCTCTCGCCAACATCCCCAACCATTAGATCCAGCCCTCCTTATGATCCAAATCTTACTAGATCCAACACTATTTTCGCTCCTTACCTCTCTTGTCTAAGGTTTCGTAGAAGGGGTGGCGATGATTTCAGTAGGTGAAGAGGAAATGGTGCGGGAGACGAGGCACAGGCGGCGAGGATGAGAAGGAGAATCGTGCGTCAAGAGAAAAAGGGGTGAGGTCATTAGGAAGGAAAAGGGAGTGGGTAACGGTGATAGAGATAGAAGAGGTGCACTAGCCGCGGAGGTGGCTAGTTGGGGTGAAGGGGTAGGGTTGGTATTAATTGAGGTATTCAAAAAAATAAATAAATAAATTCGAATTTTGGAATGAGATGTCTTTGAGAAATAGGGGATCCAATCATTTTTATTTTTATTTTTATTTTTAGAGGCACTTGTATGTGTATCTCATACAGCATTCATAGTTCAATATTTCCACCACTTCATAAGAATAAAAAATAAAAACAAATAAATAAAATATTTATCTCTACTTTGTATTACAAACTTGATAGTGTTGTTCGGGTTTGTGGACTCCACCATAGACATCATTTTGATAATTTGATTTATTTATTTTCTTGGTCTATGTATCTACATCATTACACAAAAATTACATTGAATAGACAATCGTAATTATAGCTAGATAATTTAATTATATGTGCTTTTAAATAAATGATTTCATTTTTATTCTATTTTTTAAAGACAAATATTATAAATTCATCTAGTTATGATCATTGGATTAATCATTTTTTTTTAATAGAAAAAAACTAAGGTGTTCATTAATAGTTAGAGTTCAGCTTATTTAAAATACATTTTAGCTCAACTGATTTGCTAAATGAACAAGTTTGAGCTAAACTTTTAAGCTTATTTAGAAGTAAAAAAATATACATGGCATAAATCTATTAGTTTATCTAACCAAATCAAATTTGAAAATTTAAAAATCTTTAAGCATATTAGTCTATCAAATTATATCTATTTTGAAATTTGAAATTCTTTAAATAAAAAATCTAAAATTAAATTCTAGCCATATCTAAATAAATATTAAAATTTTAAATTGGCACACACAACAAAATACTATTGAGTCATACAATTAAAATTTGAAATTAACTTAAATTATGTATATAATCTATAACTTAAATCAATATGTTCGTGAATGGGTAAGAGTAGCACTGATAGAAGATAAGCTGAGAGAGAAAAAATTGAGACAGTTTGGTCATATACAATAGAGACTAACAGAAGGCAGTAATGAAGTGATGCGATACAGTGATAGTAAAGGGAAGTGTTAGGGGAAAGGGCAAACTTACATTGACATGGGCTAATGTAGTAAATAGAGATATGAATCTCCTTAATTTGATAGTCGAGTGGAGAAAAAATATTCATGTAACCGATCTCATTTAATGAGACTTAAGGTTTGGTAATATATATCTTAAAAAAACTTAAAGTGACTCATATCCATTAATTAACTATTGATAATTAGATAACAATTGACTCTTTTCAATTTTAAAATTTTCTATCCACATATCTTTTAAGGGAGATTGATCAATAAGTTTCATATTTTGAACTTACAATTTATACAATTTCATATATATATTTTTTTGTGATCTATTTAATCTTTTTGAATATATAATGAGTCATTTGTCCGCCACATTGAAGTGTACATTTCGAAAGTTACCTTAGAATGTTATGTTTGGAAAAGTATACTAAAGAGTTTTTTAATGTATTACGTTTTTGGAGTGTTACGTTTGAGAAAAGTATACTAGAGAGTCTTTTAGTGTTTGAGTGTTACGTTTGGGAAAAGTATACTAAGGAGTCTTTTAGTATGTTACGTTGGAGTTTTTTAGTGTGTTACGTTGAAGAAGTGTTTCGTTTGAGAAAAGTATACTAATGAGTTTTTTAATGTGTTACGTTAGGGTGTTTTTTTTTATTTTTTTTTAGTGTTACCTTAGAATGTTACATTATGGAAAAATGCATTAAGGGAATTTTTTAGTGTTGAAGTGTTACCTTTGAAAAAAGTATATAAAGAAATTTTTTAGTGTGTTACATTTAGAAAAAGTATACTAAGGTCTCGTTTGGGAAGCGACCCATTTAGGCAAAAAGTCAAAAAGTCACTAAAAAAATTAAAAAGCCAACAGCCTATACCAAAAAGTCAAAGATTCTTTTTTTCTCTACTTTTTGCACATCTTTTCGTAAAAAACTAAAAAGTCATCCCAAACATACTAGTTTTTTTTAGCTCATATTTTAGCCAAATAACCAAAAAATTATTAAATTAGCTTGTTTTCAAATGAGGCCTAAGAAATTTTTTTAAAGAATTAAGTTTGAGTATTACATTGAAATAACAAAAATGTGATCTAAAAATTGTATCAAACTTTCCTAAGATTGCGTCCATTAATGGGGAATGGGGTACCTGCTGTGCACAGCAGGATTTGCTGTGCTCTTAAACGACACCGCATTGGTGCATTTTCTTGTAACCATTCACAGCTATTGTCCTTCTAATGGGCAAGCTTTAATGCTTTTAAATTCTTTTTTTTTTCTTTTGTTTGTTTTAGTTATAAAACTTATTAAAAAAAATACTTTCTTAGATCAAAAATGATAGAATCAATTTGACTTTTTAAAGGGATCTTGTAATTTCATTTTATGATGTGTGATTGTTGGTTCAAATTTAATAGAGATTGACAAACTTTGTGATATCTCATTTCTTTAATAACAACTAAGCTCTACGGATAAATAAAATAAAATTTTAAGTCAAAATCAAAATTAATTTGGGATGACAATAAAAACAATTCTCAAAATAAATTGACATTTTGACTATTTTTTTTTGTCACACATTATATATACTATATGAAGAATCGATAGAACTGAAACAACCGCTTAAGACTGATTGAAAATTTAGTTTTTGGTTTGTTTTGATTTAAATTTTTTTTATATCAGTATAAAACGAACCAACTGAAATATTTTATTTAAATATTAGTCTTTTTTAATTCAATGAGTATTACACGATAAGTGATCAATAATATAAGTTTTGTTTAATAAAAGTTAGAGAGACTTACGTATAAGTCTTAATAGGTGAACTTATTATCTAATAGGTTCTATGATAATTAATAACATTTTTTTATCAAACCCTATTAAAAAATGTCACTATTGTTAATTTTTAGTGACAGTTTAAAAATTTTGTCATAAAAAATGTCACTAATTATAAGTTTTAGCGACAGTTTAAAAAAATCGTCACCAAAAAAGTCACTGATTTTCAATTTTACATAATTTTATCTTTAGTAGATAAAAATAATTTTTTTAAATTAAAAAAAATTAATATTTATTTTTGTCAAATTAGTTTATATTTTATCAAATTGACGATTTTGCTCTTAAAATTAAGTAATGGTATCTTCAATTATTTTTATTTGGAACAAATTCAAAATTCAGGATCAAATGTGTCACAATTGAAAAGTCTGAGACAAAAATGACACAAGTCCCAAATTATTAGAACCATTAATGTAATTCATCCTAATGTAAATGATATCAAACTCCACTTAATATGATTTATAATCTTATAGTGCAAAATGATACTATTTGATTATATCATTTTGATATTAAGAAGGTAATTTTTGTAAGTCAAGTATATGTCCTATTTAGGACCATGCACAATATCGTTAAAATCGTATCCAATCGTACTAAATCACACCAAGCCATGCATTTTTTCAACTCTGGCGAGTGTGTTGGGCAGTTCTAGGAGTGACGGGTCAGTGTGGATGGCAGTTTGAAAATGTCAACCTGCCTAATAAACCGACCCAACCCTATTAACTAAAATAAGTGGTGTTTTGAAAAATTGGTAAAAAGATGACTTTTGATTTTTTGACTTTTTTGATGGCTTTTTTGGCAAAAAACTGGATTGTTTTAGGTAAAAAATATGACTTTTTTTGCTAAAAAAACTAGAAAGCTAAAAAACTAAAAAATTAACTTTTTACCAATCTTTCCAAGGTGCCCTTAAGCAAGAGAAAAAATGAAATAAAAAATTCGAATAGCATAATCAATGGTTGCCCCTTGGGTGGACAGTGACTTTGCAACCCTTACAACAAAACGCAATATTACGGTGCCGTATAGGAGCACAGCAAATCCTGCTGTGCGCTATGCACAGTAGCTATCCCTCTTCCCCATTAATGAGGAAGGGTAGAAATATCTACAAAACCATACCAAAATTTAAAATAGGATCTCACGGCCAAGTTGTCAAAATAAACATGACCTATCAGTATATTAGAAAATTCATGGAACTAATTGGAGTAACTGATTCCAATATAAAACTTTCTGATAATTTTTCTTTCTTTTAATCAACCGTCATTCAATTTTTAAAATAAAATGTATCATTTTATCTTTTTGTTAAAAAAATTTATTTACTCCCACATCACTCATCCTTTTTTTTTGTAGGATATTTATTTTAATTTATCTTTGATTTGTTAATAGAGATTAAAATTATTAAAAAAAACAAATAGACAAATCCAATGACCCACCCACCATATTTTTTAATAAATGTTTCCAGAATTTTCTTGTTTTTAAGAAAAAATTAAAATTTTAAATCTTCCATGTATAGCACAGGTTTTCATGCTAGTTTTTAATAATATAAATATTAATTTTTATTTTACTTATAATCTTTTATTATTTCACTTAATGTGCACATTAATTAAAAATACTTTTGTAAATTGGAGCTCAAGCCGAGCTCATTTATATTATCGAGCTAACTTGAGTTTCTCTAATATTTGACGAGATAAGTTTGAACTCAATTTTTTAAAGGATAATTATATTTTTCATTTTTTAATTTGATTCAAATTTTATTTTACTTCTTATAATATTAATTTAAATAATTTGGTCCCTACACTTTAAGTCTAACTTTCATTTGATCCTGCCGTCTAAATTGGAGATTAAATTAACAATTTTGAGACATTTGCCAATTTTCAAAGGTTTTAATTTGGTTCTTCTATTTAAATTGGAGGTTAATATTAATAATTTTGGAGCACTAATCAATTTTTTAAGGTGTACACATAGACAAAATTAATAAAAATTTAGATACAATGATTAAATTAAAATTAGAAGTGAAATATAGGGACTAAATTGTTCAAATTAAAACTATATGAACTAAAGTAAAATTTGAGTCAAACTATAAGGATAAAAAATATAGTTAACCCATTTTTTAAAGGGGGAATTACACTGACATGGTATCAATAAAAAATATTATAAATATTAGTAATTAATATCATAAATTTTTACACTAATATTTAATAATTTTTTAAAAACTACCTGAATAATAATTTCTCCTTTTTAAAACTCAACGTGATGTTCAACTAAATTTCACAAACAAAACTTGAATCCTCCAAAAATCGACTTAACTCAATGTAAAAGTTCCAAAAATAAATTAATCAAATCATCAAAGTAGGATTTATACTAGTCCTATTGACATTGTTGATTGAAAATTTTAAACCAAACTGAATCTTTCAAAGAAAAAAAGAAAAGCATGTTGTAATTTAAAACTGACAAGTCAAATGCACATGGAGTCTTTAACAACTTATTTGGATTGTGTGATTTGCAGAGAAATGAAATATATATATATATGTATACATATTTTAATCACTTGTTTGAATTATAGAAATGTGGAAAAATTGATTTATCTTACAATTCACTTTTTGAATTTCTCAAAAATTAGAGAGATTATGAGAGAAAAGAAATAGGATGATAACTAATTTTATATAATATCAAAATTGTTCACCTACGTACAAAAGAAATAAAAATATAAAAAATTATTTTATTATTTTAACTCGTACTCATATTTTAATGCAGTCTATCCATCTAAGATTTATTTTTTTCTCTTATTTTCTCCTTAACTTAATTAAACAAGAGGAAGAAAAACCACAATTTGTATTTTCTTCTTTCTGGATTGTACATGTATTTTATTTTATTTTATTTTTGTTATCCCAGATATCCGAACATAGGACTATTTTGGAAAAAAAAAAAAAAGTTGGCTTTTGGCTCATTTTCAAAAAGTCAAAGGCAAGTTTTAATTGGACAAAAAATTATTGGGCAAGTTGGAAATAAGTCAACTTTTGAAATTACAAAAGGAAGCAGCTTGTCTCCAGTTCTTAATCAGATTGGATGGTGCTATTCGGCCCATGGGGGTCCATCACGAATCTCGTTTTGATAATCCGAAACTTTAATGTGTAGAACTCGTCGAGTACTATATAACTGTAAAAAATCACATTGATTGGATATCGATAGTTATCTTATCTTATTAGTTTTTTGTCAACCGTTAATTTGTTCACCGTCCATTTTTTATATATATACAAAACTGATTTGATCACATAACTATCGATATCCGACCAACGTGAGTTTTTATAAGCATATAGTACTCAACGAGTTCTATACATTGAACGGTTCGGATTATGAAAACAGGACCCGAAGTGGGCCCCCAAGGACTGAACAGTACCATCTAATCTGATTAAGGACTGGAATCAAGTTACTTCTATTACAAAAATATCCTCACCTATATGAAAGAAAATTAGGATAAAGTTGCAATTTCACATAATTTCATAAGGGTAATGTGATCAATCTACCTCTTTGCCTATTGATGTGATAATACATAGAAATAATTTTTTTAAAAAAAGTAAAAAAATAGTTTTTTTTTCATTTTCCTAAATGGTTTTGGGCCTAAGCCAAAAAGTAAGGAAATACTCAATTTTCATATTTCCAAAATAGTCCATAATATAAAAAAAGATATGGATTGTCTCTCGTTGGACTAACTAACTGGACGGTCTAGTTCAATTTATTGTGGACTAATTTTGGATTTGTCTCGACAATACAAACTGTTAATGTATAAAGCTCGTCAAGTATTTTATTTTATATAAAAAATCACGTTGATTAGATATCAATAACAATTTGATCATTTTATATTTATGTGAATAATTTATTTTTTAAATCATAATTATCATTTACACAAATTTAATTTAATTAAGTGATTATCAATATTCAATAAATATGATTTTTCATAAAAATGAAACACTTAACAAACTCTATATATTAAATAATCAAATCATCGATACAAGTACTATGATAGGCCTATAGAGGCCCAACGGTATGCTCCTTCCGATTCCAAACCAGAGAGGAGACACCGCCTATAAAATGAAAAAAGAAAAAAGTATAGTGCTAGTGCACTAAATATTCATGCTGCCAACCAATTACCAATTGATGACCCAACCTTTTTCTCTCACGCCCCAATACAAAATGAGTAATTATTTAATTGATCTTGGTATATTACTCTTCTTTGTTTAGAGAAAGGCTATGGTAAACCCATCTGTGCATGCACTTTTTGAAATTTATAATAATCATATTTTTCTTACCACATTTTGTTTACCATCTTATATGTTGCATTGGGATCAAACATGAGTGATGAGTAAGATTCATGAAATCAATACAATATTCGACATGTAATATGATAAAACAAATAATGATTAGAAAATATGATTATTCTAACATTATCACCTTGTTTGATTCTAATTTCCGAACTCAAAGTTTTTGACAATTAATTTTTTTGTTTGTCATTTTTGTTTTAGTAATTTTTTTATTTTTTTAATAAAAAAATATATAAAAAAATAATATGACAATTTATAATGATTTTTTAATTTATATAATTGTGAAACGAGATTTTAAATCAATAAAAATCAAGTAGGGACCACCGAATAACTTCTTGTAAGCCCTGTCGGTTCGGTTGTTTTTGTATATGCATCCGTCCACACGATTATTCTCAGTTTCATTTCATACGCACATAAATTTTGCTTCACAAAAACAAAAACACAAAAAAGAAAAGTTAAAAAACAAAAAACACCCTTTTTTTCTCATCCCTTAACCTTTTTCTTTACGAAACGATTCGTCGTGGTGACGATCCGATTCTCCGATCGAATCTCGTCCACCGACTGAGAGTCCGTCACCTGTCAAACCAGTCACACAGTCATGAATACCGAATAGTCAGTAATTCAATAACTCTGTTTCTTTTTTAATGCATATATAGCTTGTTTGATCTGTTCTCTCATTTTTTTTTTTATTCTTTAGAATTTGTGGTAGTTATTGTTTAGATTGGGTTAGATCTGCGTTAAATTTGCTTTTATTTGATGGTAAATATGGTTGATCTGATTGGCTTACCTAGATCTTTATGAATTGGTTTCAGATTGATTGAATTTTTTATTTTGGATTTGGAGGTTGATTTTTGTTAACTGAAATGCTACAAAAAAACAATTGTTTAGGAACCAGATGGATATGTTGATTTCTGTTTTAAAATTTTCATTTTATAGAACTGTAGTCTGAATTATCTGAAATTTTTGAGAGAGTTTTAAATGAAAGTTAATTGATGCGTCTCACTGGTAGTTGTAATAAATGACTAACGTTATTATGTTTCATTTGGTTCATTGCAAATTTTCCTTTTCTGGAGGTGTATTTTTTTTAAAGAAAAATGTTATGAACCCCATTTAAGTAACCCCAAATGAGAGTTTTGTGGTTGAGATTGAATTTTTGTAGTGTGGAGTCATATGTACAATAAATCTGAACCACAAGATGACAATTCTGAATAATTTCTGAGTAGTTAAGTCTAGGTTTGTAGTATTACTGTTTTGAAAAACAAATGTCGGATGCATATATATATATTTTTGCAAGAATTGATGTTTAGTTTTGTTAAGCTTGAATATTAGACAGGTCTCTGAAATGGGTTTTGTGGAAAATGATTACTCTCTTTTTTTATATTTACCATAGGTCTATATTATTCAATTAAATGTTGAAGGTGTATTTCCTGGTTAAGTATTTTGTAACTTTTCAGCTGAGTTTAAAATGAAAAGGTTATTATTCCTTTTGTCATTTGCAGTGACTACTTGTTCAAGCTTTTGCTGATTGGAGATTCTGGAGTTGGAAAATCATGTCTTCTTCTGAGATTTGCTGTAAGTGCTTTGGAATGTTTTTCACTTTCTCCTATGTTTCTCCTTTTTAATGAATAGTATATTACATTCTTATTGGATGTTAGTTGAACATGTTCCTTAAGTTAAAGCATATTGGTGGCTTGTTGCACCAGTAAGGGTAAACTCATGACTTGGATAACCTCTGCATTACAGCTGGATTTGATTTCTCTCTCTCTCTCTCTCTCTCTCTCTCTCTCTCTCTCTCTCTCTCTCATGTTTGTATATGTGCATATCAATTTGTGCTTGAGCTTCCAGATTGGTAAATGGAGGATTGGATTTGAGTTAAATTAGAGTTGATAGCAATCCAACCTGTTTAAGAAAATTTGTCTGTAATTGCTCTTCCTTTTTATCGTTTTGGCTGTAAATTACTTACCTGTTGGGGGAAAAAAAGAAAAAAGAAAACAAAGCTTCTGTTCTTAACTTAGAACCTAATTTGCTATAATTAAATCCAGAATTCATACAATTCCAATGATAACACTGCATGATGAGTCTTTGAACATGAGCAAATTGTCAAAAATCTTTCCTGCATGTTTGCTTGCTTATTTGTGTCTTTCGAATATATATCTAATATGAGTCATCCGGAGAAAATGTGAAGGTTTAATATAGGAGAGAGATCTTGCAATTTACAACTATTTGGCGTTGCAGTGGTTATTTAACTTCTTTCCTTATTTATATTGTGTTGTTAGTAGAAAGGAGTACAAGGGTATCAGAAATTGGATTTGTTCTTTTAGTTTGGGAAGTTTGAGGAACATATTGCCATGCTCATGTGGGAAAATTTCACTTTCTGGAATTTATTCCACTTAGTTTATTATTTTGGTAGAATTTTATTTTCTGATTTGTGTCATGTTATCATTGAGACAAATAAATTGTGGGTTATAATATGGTACCTGTGCATTTTTTTTTTTTATTGGAAATGTTTACCTTACTAGGTCCTTGTGAGAATTCTTACTGTGATGCTGTTGTCTTGATATCTGGGGTTCTGTTGTCTGACTATTTTTTAGTTGGTTACATGATTACAGTAAAGTTTAGCTTCTTCAACTGTGAGGAATTGCGTGGTAGAAAAATAAATTATGGTACACATTTTTAGGAAGTTCAGTACCTTTCTTTCAATTGCAATTTGATTATGTCTCTCACGCACTCTTTAGCATAGTAATCTATGAAGCACGGGTATGGGTACGAGTACTGGTACGATATGGGTACGTTGATACGGTAAAATCCAAAAAAAGTAAGGTATGGGTATGGCGTGGTACGCTTGTAAAAAAATATTTATTTTTAATTTAAAGTAATGCAAAAATTAATTAAATAGTTTCATTTGTTAAGATCCAATCTACAATTAACATTTAATGCCAAAAGTGAAGGTATAACTCAAAATTAAATGTCAATATTTACAAACCATAGTTTAATTTTAAAATCATGCTAAGTATAAAAAAAAATAAGCAAAAAAAAAAAAAAAAAGAAGTCTAGTGAAAGAACTTTTATCTCTGTAGTAGAAGAAAATATTATTTCAATTAAGGTATGGTACGGCTAGGTACGTCTGAGTACGCTAAAAATTACATAGAAAAAATTTGAGTACGTGTTTCGTGTACCTAGCTTGTATGCAGAAATACCATTCGAGGTACCATATGCCGGTAAGTACCCGGATACGACATGTTTTTCAAAGTACACATGCTTCATAGATAGCAATCCACCTGATAAATTTGGTTTCTTTTCATGTTATAACCTGTGTTTGTTTGGAGAAAATTTTGGAGATGACAATAGTGGATTTCTTTCCTTAAATGTTGAATTGAATATGATCTATCTGCTCAATTTGAATTTTGAATGTGTGATAGATGCTGAAGTTGGCTGCATTTTTTTTGCTTCTTCAAATTGATTTCTTTTATAAACTGACTGTTTCCATCATCTCTTTGGTACAGGATGATTCATATCTGGACAGTTACATTAGCACCATTGGTGTTGACTTTGTAAGCATCTAGTATCTATGGGCTAAGGTGAACATAAACTAGACAAAAGGGATAGCTCTAATCATTTTTTCCCCCTGCAGAAAATACGCACTGTAGAGCAAGATGGAAAGACCATTAAACTTCAAATTGTAAGATATTCCCTTCTATTGTTTTGATGTCCTCTGAAATAGACATGTTTTCAATTTTTTTTGGGATTTGGGACTACATGATGCACTGAGCAAGAGCAACTATTTAGCATACCTGGATTATGTATTTTCTTTCTTTGCTTCTCTTATGTAGAGGATGCATTATCCTCATTTCTTCTTTTTGATTAATCAATAAAAGTTTGTTGTTGATCAAAAAAAAAATAATAATAATAATTAGCATACCTGGACCACTAACTCTGCATGCTGCCATGGTGCTCCCAGACCAATCAGAGCACTATTTACATGATGTGTGGAGCCGACTTGACCCACCTTGGTCAGCTGGGTAGGAAACAAGGTTGGCCTCGTCCATCCCTTTTCTCGTGGCCTCATTGGTCGGAGAGCCATGTGCTTTTGCCATGGTAGTGCCTTGAGAGTACTAAAAAATTTTCTACTGAGCAAATACTTTTGGTTAAAGGTTTAAAAAGTTGATGTTTAAAATTTTTCACGACTGACGGATAATTAGTATAAATGGTATTGCCAATTCTTTTGGTTCCACTTTGTTCATCTCTCTGTTAAGAATTCCCATCTGGCCAGTGATGTTTTTTGTGTGCAAGTTGCAGAGCACATTATATCATGCTCATCAATATTTGAGTGAATTTATTATATCATTCTTTTCTTCTTCTTCCTCTTTTTTTTTTTTCTCCCTTTTGTGGGCATGTAGTGGGACACTGCTGGACAAGAGCGCTTCAGGACAATCACTAGCAGTTACTACCGTGGGGCCCATGGCATTATAGTAAGTTTTTGTTTTCTTTAATCCTTTCTTCTTCTTCTTCTTTTTTCCTGGTTTGTTGGTTTCTGCAGTTTCCTCCTCAATTTGTTAATATGTCATGTATTATTGGCAATTTGGACAGATAGTTTATGACATAACAGATCAGGAGAGTTTCAACAACGTTAAACAATGGTTGAATGAAATTGATCGTTATGCCAGTGAGAATGTAAACAAACTTCTAGTCGGAAATAAATGCGACCTCACTGATAATAGAGCCGTTTCCTATGATACAGCTAAGGTACATACCTGACATTCTTGCTCTATTTTTTCCCATACTGTTTTGTTCTTTTGAGCCATTAGTTAAATCAGGGTTTTGTT